AGTGCTTTCTCTGCAAACAAACTCTCACTACCAATGGCTGATTTGTAGTTTTGAAGCAATGTAGTCTCATTTCTGTTTCAGAACTCTTGAAAAGAGCAAGTTACCTAGCTGGGTTTTTCTTTTATATCCCTACTCAGTATGAAATAGAGAATCTATCTCTAGCTCTACTTGAAATGAGTATTAGCCATTGGCTTGACAGTTCTTTGTTGCAGGTCTGTCTCCTCTCCCTGCGTGAGACAGTTATATGTGTGAATTGGAGAAGAAACACCAGAAACATTTCTTTCCAAGTTATAATTAGAAAATTAGTAACTTTGGGTGCTTTACAGTCAAAATACAATGTGTCTGAAATGATTTCGAAGGCACCTTTTGCCTTGATACTAATGGCTCTATGTGAGCAAATCCAGACATGCACTGGGAAAGGCAAACTGTATGAATGTGCATTTCTTTTTGGAAAAGTGTATGAAAGGAGCCAAATAAAACTTATTTTCTACAAAATTATTTGAGTTTAGTGCAGTTTCTAAAGCATTTTTTTTGTGTGTGTGTGTGCTTGACCAGGCTTGAGATGCCATGAGTGTAGAGTTTCGGCTTTATTTTTCACTATTTGATAATGTTTTGTTTTGTTGATTGTTTGTTTTTTTTTTTAATATCGGGGACAAGAAACCTCATATTTTCCATGAACTTGTCCTGTGTCCAAATGACCTACTGTTATCAGTAGCCAAGGAAACTTCTGAAGATGCTGCTTTTTTGTGCAAGAGGCGAGGCTCTAACTTCTTTCATCTTAATTTTAAAAGATTGACTGTTACTATCACATTTCGCTGAAGTTTTGCATTTTGGGGAGGGAAGTATCCCTCTAAATCTCCGTAAATGTCTTTTTTGCAAGCAATATATGTTTGAAGCACAATATGTTTTCATTTGTATAATAGTTGTCAGTGAGAAATGTTACTCCCATAGTTGTGAAGTGAGTATTACTGTTCACATACTTAATCAAACTTCTGAGCTAGCTGTTAATCATCTGCCCTTGGGATATGTCGCTTCCACTCCCTCATTCTTACATGCAAGATGAGCAAACAAAGTCACATTGTATGTTTGTCATTAAGATTTAAGGTAGCTTAAGCTGTTTTATAAGGCTCATAACTGTAAAGTTTCCACTCGTTTCAAAGCAGTTACCTTCAGTCACTGCTTTCAGTGACGGTAAGCTTTCTGCTTACCTTCAAGGAGGGGAGGACTGGTATTATATAAGTAAATAACTGGATATGTAAGTCGACTTTTAAATACACCTGAGAGTGAAGTCAAACCAGAAAGTCACTTCACTGAGGATAATCAAGCTTCCTCAGGCTCAGTACTTGTTCCACTGCAGTTCAGCTTCAGCCTTCATGTTTGCAGCTGATTCTAAATGAGTTGAATGTCTGAGATCTATGAAATGAAGTTGATTATAATTGCATGCTAGCTGACATAACTTGGAACAAATAAAGCAGACTTACAATTGCAAGATAGAAGAGAGTTTTGGGAGAGTAAAACTCAGGTGACGATTCTGTCTGCATCAAACAAGGTTGAGTGATCCCGTATGTTTCTTTGGACACAGGCTACGAACTAGACCTGGTATGATCCTCTGCCAAAGCATGACGCACAGAAAGAACCAGGAAAATAAATGCAGAGCAGAAGACAGACCACCCAGAAATTAGGTGCATGCTGGGTATCAAGATGTAAGAATGCATAACTGGAGATTGTTTCGTTTTGGATGTGGGTTGGAGGCTTCTTTGTTACCCACGAGAAAATTCCTG